AGTTGCCTCCTCTCCCCCCCCCCCCCTCCCCTCCCTCCCCTCCTCGGTGGCTGGTGGATTGGAGGAGGGCCACGCGGCGCGGAGGCTTTCCTGGCACAGGACCCAGCCGCTGCCATCTGCACCCTTCGGACCACGTGCTGCTGGGAAGCCATGTGCAGGGCAGCCTCCGGAGAGACTGCTGGCTGGGCCAGGTTTGCAGAGGCCTGATCTTTGGTTTCAAGGGCACCCTGCGTGCGCTGGGTCTTTGAAGTTTCCCGTGTTTGCGTGTGGACCGTGTGTGTATGCATTGGTACATGTGCCGGCTTTACCCGCTGAACCCTAGCAAGTGGGAAGGAGAAAAAGCTTTAGAAGAGTCTTTCTTCTTCTCCAGATCTCGCTGTTCCCACAGGACAGAGTGGAGGAGCAGGGACAAAAGAAGTTCTAGAGGGAAGATACACTGTCTTAACGAAACGTGCTCGGCACGTTTTCTTTTAGTGTGGCGAGACCAACCCAGGGATGGCAAAAGAATAAGGAAGAAAAAGCAGCCAAAGCAAATGTTCTTTTGCAGTAGCACGTAAAGAGGAATGCCAGGCACTCATGTTGACACTGATAAAAACTTAGTGTAAAGGAGATACAGTGCGTTAGTAAATGCTAATATTCAGTAGCAGTTGTGCTAAAAGAAAGAAAAAAGAGACCAAGCCTGCACTGGGACTTGAGAAGAAGTGTCCACATTTGAAAACCTCGGTGGGATGTGTGTGATCAGTGGCACAAATTAATGGTGTGTAGTTTATTTTCCAGAGATGGATTTGGTAAAAAGATTGAAGAAAGATTGCAGGCACTCGGAAGAAAAAATTTATGTCCCAGAATTGGCCCTACTGCAAAGGCCTGAAGGTAGAAGGACCGAGCCATAAAAGAGAAATTCATAAACCCTGGCATTGCTCTTCTCCTTGGGCCTAACATCAGCATAAGGGGCAGTTTGTAAATTAAGATTGCCTGGAATGATGCTCAATGTTCGGAGTGCTCCAACCTTCCAACAGCCTTCAGACTACCTGCAGCAACATTTTGGGAAAATCAGATATAACTCTCCATGCCAGAGGCTACCAGATAAGGCTGCTGCGACTCTGAATACGTGGTTTGCTAAGTTTGAAGCTTCCTCTGCTGTTGGCTAAAAAGAACAGCTACCCGGCCTCCCCTTTGGATGTGGGGATGTTTAACCTAGGCTGTTGTGTTGGCAATGACAGGGATGAAAACAAGAGTAGTTCAAAGGTTGGAGACTTGCTAAGAGTCCAGTACTTTGATCTACTGTCGGTGTCGTTATGTTTCTTTTAGGAAGCACATCCAGAGCCTTTATTTAACACTGCTACACACCACAGCTGGAGAATGGATCAGAAAATGAGAACCATGTTCTGGGAGTTTTACTTAGCTTTTAAAAAAAACAGTACTGAGCTCACCAGAATTGGGGCCCTCTTCAGCTCCCTACTGAAGCTGGGAATATTGCCTGGGGAAAGAGCACTCAGGAAGGCTGCCACTAGGCTCTCTCTTTTTATTGTTATTTTTGGATGTCAGGATTTTCTCTACCTCTTGCTTTCCCCATGACTTCTTTGTTGGCTAGTGAAGATCACATGTGGCTTAAGTAGCATCTGGACTTTGCTTTGCTGTTGCTGGGTTGTGTTGCATTTCCCCTTGCCAAAATGAACCTAGATGGACTGCGAATGCGTTGTGCTGCCTGGATGCTGCGGGGCCCAATCCAAAGTCCACTGGAAACACTGACACCCATTTGAGTGGCCTCAAGGGCAAGTGCAGTATATTCTTTGCTTGGAAGTACAGCCCGTGGCCTCTACTGTAAAAGGAGGGTCTCCTAAGAAGAGGCAGCAAAATAATGCTTGCTTAGAAAATAAAATCTCAGCCAGTTGGCTTAACAAGGTGAAGGCTGTGGAAGTGTTTGTAGATGAGCGTGTGATGTGTTTGCTCCAGAAAGAGAAGGTTACACTGCAAGGTGAAGCTGAGGGGAATTCCTTCTAAGCTCCCTCTTCAGTTGTCTGGCGAGTAGAAGTGGAGTTGTTTGATTTGGTTTAGTTTTGAAAAATCCATTTTCACCAAAGGATGTCTTTGTGCTGTGGTAGGTTTGGGAGAAAAAGGAAAAAAAAAATAAAATTACCAGGGGTTGTTTGAAGTTAACACATAATTGAGCTTAATGAATGGGGCTTTGGCATGGCCGAGCAAGGCAGGGAGAGCTCAAAAGGGAGCAGGCCTCTTTTGGCCCAAGTTAAGACCAGTGTTGAGGGAGAACTGCAGCTCTATACACGTATAACAATGAATAGCAACAAATATTGGAGCTTCAGCGTTTCATTATGTTCCTCTGGTTATCAAAACATACCAGGCCCCTTTTATATTATTATTATTCCTATTATGATTGTTGTCCCTCTCCTCCTCTCGGATGGAGAAAGAACGATCCCCCTTTGAAACAAGCACGTTACAATTCTCCTATTCTCCGGCCTTTATAAAATCGGGAGTCTCAAGGTATGTGACCAGTTGGAACCTGTTGCATCTTGCAGCAAGTGATTTATGTTCGCAGTTTTGATTTGCCTCAATGAAAAGATTTTCATTCATAGCCCCCAGCTCTCCAGACGGATGGAATTGCTGCTCCATTTAAAAAGGAAAAGGGGTGACTCGCCTTGTTAGGAATTTTTTTTAAAGCGCTGCAGCGCCTATATGCCTGCTTTGTCCTCCCTTCAGGGTGGCTGGCATTCTTCTCTCTCCTCCCCCTCCTCTCTCTCTCTCTCTCTCTCTTTTTAACAACCCTGAAGTTGTTTATTCTTTTTGGATGAAGTCTCAGATAGGCTACTGGGGATGTGTGCTTCAATTGATGGGGCCCCCTACCCCATTGTGGCTGTGTCAGGTCTAATTCATCTCACCGAAGCCCCCTTGTTCCTGAGCGCTCAATAGCGCAAGATGAGGCGATGGAGGCTGACAATGATGCCACACTCTTCACTTGGGGGCATCCAATTACAGGCGAGAGGGGCCCCCTGATTAATATGCTGAAATTAGTGGCCTCTGCCACAAATAATTCCTTGTTGAGTTGCAACAAAAAGGCAGTCCATGCTGCTTGTCTGGAGTGGTTATAGGGACAGACACAAACTGGTCATTTAAACTTCATTATCACTTTTCCACCTTGGAAAGAATGAGGGTGTGACTATGAATTCATGTTCTTGTTTACTGCTCCATTTAAAAGAAGGACGCAAATATGAAAGGCAAACGTGATCCTGTCAGGACGGACTCATGAAACGGACACATTTTGGTCATGTTCTGTTTGAGGAGCTCGGTAAATAGTGGCACAAACGCGTTGCCACCATGCCCTTCAGAGCAACCCAATCCCGGTGCAATTCATGCTTGCCTAGCAAAATCCCTCATTTCTAAAAGTCTAGCTGCAGCTGTGTATCCGTGTTCTAGTTAGGGACTGGCTTTGGAATGTGTGCAGTGTCAGTAATCTGGACTACTTTTGATTTTGGGGAATGACAGAAGCTTGCTGGAAGGTTGGTGGTGTATTCATACCTACTTGGAAATGGACAGGTTAGGAGAAGGGGATAAACAAAATTTATTTTAAGAATGGTGCCATAAATAAGATGACTTGAGATCAAACTTGCCTTTTCACTGGCAGTGCATCACAAAACATTTGACCACAGCTGATTGTATCAGTTGAATTTTGAAGGTTCATAAAATGCTGGGCAAAATGGCCCTTTGAAGGTGGGTATTGGTCAGGGCTTCAATGGAATGTCAGAGGTACATGAATAGGTTCAGAGAGAGGAATTTGATGGAGTCCTGAAGTCTTTGGTTTCACTGGTAAAACATTTACACCAAAGTTATTTTATCATCATAAAGGAGATGCATGATTTAATCCTTAAACTGTTCCACTGAGCCCTCTAAGCTGTCCGTTCCTTTGATTTCATTCAAGGGTTTGACAGATGGTTTGTATTTTTTCAACCCAGAGGAAGCTGTCTTCTGATAAAAGCTGAAGGAATGTATCTCAGGTTCTGGTGCATAATGTGGCATTTCCCTTTCTTCCTCACAAAAATCAGACGTTTTACTTGTGCCACTTCCTTTGTGCCTGATTCTCCTACAAGGTGTACACTGCCAGGGATCAAACGCATTCCTGTTCAGCAGAAAAGAGTCTTAGCATTAAAATGTGGATTATTCTTACAGGGAAAAAACCCAAACAACAACAAACGAAACAACAAACCAAAACAAAAACCAAACCAAACCCGGGCTAAATGGCAGAGATAGCCCCTTAAGGAATCATGGGAGTGGCTTTGTGGAGAGACCTACAGCAATGCATTCTGGAAGGGGGCCCAGCCTCTTGTCAGCGTGGTGTCACATCAGAATGTAACTGATTGTCCGCCAATTCTTGGGACCCCCGTCACTTAGTTATGCCACATTTACATTAAATCCCTGTTGCCAGGATGGATGGCAGCCACTGACAAGAGACTAGGTTGAGACAAAGCATTTTGAAGATGAAACCTTCATTTAAATATGGATTATCTGCCTCCTGACAGGGTTAAGCAGTCTTTTGCTTGCTTTATTTTTTTGTTGATGTTTTTCATGAAAGCGACATTCCTTGGAATGTCAGTGCAAAGGTTTGTGCTTCCAAGGGCCTGAGGACTCCTTCCTAGAGTGGACCTAAGGATCTAACCATGTGAAACACTTCAGAATGCCAGCAGGTTTTCTCAGATGTATACTGCTGTTGACCTCGGTGGTGTTATTCACGTAATCTTCGGGTTTGAAGGATGGGGGCCCTGCTTATGATAAAAATACCTGGAGGTGATGAATGGCCTCCCAGGCGTAGTGCTAGGAAGGGCTACTCACTGAAGTTCAGTTGGTCATGTGGATAAGTGTTTACAGGTTTGGACCTGTAACAGTTTAGAGCAGGAGGCACCTTTCTGCTCACAAATTTTCCCTGCCTTTTCGGATGCAACAGTTGGCAGCTGAAGCCATGCTGGTAGAAGAATGTATGTGTATGGGCAGGCTTCTAAAGCAATCATCTCAGTCTTCTTTTTTTTTTTTTTTTTCTTCTTTCTTCATACAGATATTAAATTTATTTCAAACCCACCTTCCATGATTGCAGCTGGCAGTGTGGTAGCAGCTGTGCAAGGCCTGCATCTGGGGAACACTAACACTTTCCTCTCCTATCAATGCCTCACACATTTCCTATCACAAGTTATCAAATGTGATCCGGTAAGTGACTCTTTTGGTTGATCTCCTGCCTTAGAGTTTAAGAATGAACTCCTGCTCGCTGCAGAGGGGCTAATCTGACAGTAAATCTTGACAAAAGTCAAACCTCAGAGTGGGGATTTTGAACGTATTCTCTTGTGTCCATCCTAGTTACTCAGCTGTGTTATATCCACGAATAATGGGTGGCTCCTCTGCTGCAGTTCCCTGATAGGAACGCCCCATCCAGCTCTAATGTTTGGCAGAGGCACATCTGACAGAGCAAAGGAAACACTGCATGTGTCAGAGGCTGTGTTCGGTTGTAGGTCATTAAACCAGGAGCCTGTGTAAAACAAAACTTTGAAAATAAGATGAGGAAATAGTTACTGAGACCTCGAGGTATCTCTGACCTTATCTTTGACCATTCTTGAGGCCTTTTATTGTGCCAAGTGGTGTGAAAAAGGCCTTCTTAAAAGAGTTCTAATGATCTAATTTGGTTTATTATGTGCTAGACCTGCACAGTAGCTGGTATTGAATTCCTTTTTGGAACAAATGCTTGTCCCACGACTTTCTGACAAGGTAGATGGTCCTCACAGGACTCTCATTTTGCCCTGCAGCTTCCAGGAGATGCACACCAGTAACTAGTGAGCAATAAACCTTTCATGAGTGAATGGGCCAGGAAGGGAGCCTACAAGGAAGACCTAAAGTCAATGATCCATGTCATAATGGTGTGTGAAGTTGGGACAGAGTTGAGCTTTGTTTTGTAACAATGTGGAAGACCAATAAATAGATGCTTTAAAAAGGTTCTTGTGAGGTCTCCAAGCGCTGGACAATGAGTCAAATAAAGACAACTCTGTGGATAGGGGCAGAATCCTTGAGATGCCATTAAATTATTTTACATGTTAATAATAAAAAGACGTTGAGAACTGTACCAGTCCAGACACTGCAAAACTAGGTTTGCAGAATTGGACTTTGTTGACAGGATTGAGTGATTTCTGGGAAGATGAATGCATTGTCATAATTCACAAAAGAGTATTTTACTTTTGATAGACTCTGTGAAACAACTGCTGACAAGCTCCTCAGCTTATTATTTTGCTCCCCTTACCAATACCTCAGTTTTGAGCACATTATCTTTGCCATGTATATTACTGCAGCTAAAGTAATATGGATCCAGTGCTGAAATCTTAAATACTATAAGAACTTCAAATGCTGAAATAAAATGCTGCTCAGTTTGGTATGTACATGTAATGCTTTTAGTCAGTTTGTGAACAATGTAGATATTTCAGTGTATGGTTGGCCACCATCCAGTGTGAGATATTTGAAGCAGGTACTGAGGAAAAAAGACTAGGCTTGCTATCTGTTCTGACAGTGTCTGATTCAAACAAAAACATGATTTAATCATTCCTGATACAAAGCCCTGAAGTTGATTCACATCTTGGATAACAGCAGTATGTGAGTTGACTTAGTTGACGACAGAGCTCTTTTAAAAGAAAATAAAGTACTTTTAGCAAGAAGGAGGATCCTTGCTTATTTTGTTTTTATTGTCCAGAATCGTTGCAAGTCCACAATCTGTATGTCCTGAACTTAAGAGCTTTAAAAGGAATAACTCCCCTCCTGCTTTCATTGCTGAACACATTCACGTGTTAGAGCAGCAGGAGTTAGAAGTAAGGTTTTTGTGGAGGTTGCTACAGAAAATAAGAATTATACAATTATACCCATGTATGCGTATACTCTTGTGTTTGCAATGGAATGATGGAATGAGGGAACAGCATTTTTCACTGCTGTTGCTTTGAGTAGAGAGAAGTGCTTGGTTTCATACATAGCAGGATCCCCCTGTGTGGAGAATTTCCCGTAAGACGTGCCTGTGTAATCCAGGGTATCAGATGCTATTCCTGTTATCTTATTTCACTAGCATGTAGATGAAGCTTGTTAACCCCCATTTATGGTTCCCCTTGTTAGATGGCACAAATGAATATGCTTTATGTGGGATTGTCTTGAAATATGATGAGCACTCATTATAACATGGCTAACCTTCTCCCCGATTATCTATTAGCTAGAGCAGCTGGACTGTTGGATTTCAGGTTATATAATTACACTTTTTTACCTTTAGTCTCAAATAAAGCTGAATCTGAAGTAAAATGAATATCACCTGATTGGAATTCCTCTATGGTTCATGTTTACGTTGGTTGGTAGGAGTCCAATTTCCCATTTTGCCTTTGATCAGGGGTAATTAGAAGTCAGATAATCACAATTAGAAGTCTTGGGCTGTCTTCCATCATTCTATTCTTGACCCCGTCATCCAAACGGATTGAATTTTACCTGACATTCATTTCCAGGCCAGAAATTTGCTAAACTAGATTAGATTGGGTTTATGATGTCTGTTAGTACATTGGAATTTGTCTCCCACCTGCCCCTACTCAGAGGCACCTTCAAACATGTGCTTGTTCTCCAGAACGGGTCAGGCAGTAACAAAGGATTTCCAAGCAGTTTCTTTTTTGTTGTTGTTTGTTTCCTTTAGTATCTGACCCTGAAGTCTGATCATGTCTACTGTGTGTGTTAAAGGTATTTAACCACATCAGTTAAGCTAGCAAGTCTCTTTTTTTTTTTTTTTTTTTTTCCACTGAGGAGCTTAATTAATCCAGGAAGGGTTTATGACCTTGAACAAACTGTGGGCATTGAAAATTTGGGTAGTGAAGCAGAAAAGTTGTTGGGAGAAGTTATCAGAGTAATGCACAAGTTTTGTATTTGCTTTGGAGAAGTACTGAAAATGCAAAAAGCAGAAGTACTGAAAATGCAGAAAGCTTTGTTGAGGTTGTTCACAGTGAATGTTACATTTTTGCAGTTACTTTTGCTAGCTCTAGTACTCTCCTGCAAACTCTTCTAGCAGTCATCTGAGCAAGAGGTGATTTGAACATTAAAAACATTTTAAAAAATTGTTCATTCCACTGTAGCTTAAGACGTAAGTCTGTTCATAATAGATTATAAAGATTATGTTTTTAAAAAATACAATGTGCAGTACTCTGAGAATCTCATGGGGAAAAAAAATTTCTGTGGTCAAAAATTACCTTTAAATTACATAGTCCTATGTAATTATTCATGACTGGACTCCAGAGGGAGAAGAATAGGTATTTATAGAAATTCTTTTGAATGGTTTTAGTTTTCAGTGCTCAAACATGCTTTATGCAAATGACAAGATTAAAAAAAACACACAACAACCACAAAAACCCCACCAAACAATCCTTCCCCACCCCCAAAAAAGAAAGCAAAAAGGGTTCGTTTTGCTCTGAAAATGAACTGGCTTTCAGTTTGGAACACTGAACATGCCACCTTGTTAAAAGGGAATTATCCTTCCAAGTGCCTGGGCCAAAAATACCTACAGCTGTATTCAGGTACTGCTCTTTGATACACCTCATTCCAAGTGGGACTGAGGTGCATGGTTCAGGACATGCAAGCAGGAGCCTTCCAGTCAGGATTGATCCGTCATATCTTGGGAAGGGGTGAAAGGACTTCATAGAGATCTTATTGTGAAGGCCAGAGGTATGTAGGAGCCAAAGGCATGATGACTTTAGGATATGAGGCGTTTCTTTTTGTCATTTAAAACGCTGTGTGTCTCTGTCAAGAGGAAATATTACACTAGGGTTTAAACCAGAAAAGGTCATAGGTTATGTGTTTTCAGTGAGCTGTAACTGATGGTCTGATCTGCTTAGAGGTAGGATTAACCTCCCTCTCTCTCAGAAAGGACTTGCAGAGAATTGTTTGCTTGGGTTTCTAATCTTATTTTACCCCAAATGCCATGTGCCCTTATTGGTGGCAGAGGAGATTCTTGTGGTAGTGGAATCACTGAAAAGCTGGTAGATCACACAAGAAGCCTCTGAATGAAGGCCGAATTGAAACTGGGAAATAAAGAAAACAGCAGGCAGGTCACCCTCTCAGGAAAACAACATTCATTCTCAGTCATGCACATCCTAACACTTTTGACGGCAATTTATCATGGAAGACTGGGTTCACCGCAAGGGCTAACACATGTCATAGGTTAAATCAGAAAAGGCAATGCTGAAAGGAGACTTCAAAGTCCTTAATGCACAGAGTTAAATATGTTGGGGAAAAGCTTAGGATGTTTGTTATAAAGATACCAGTAAACAGCGTGCTGGAGGAATTTTGGCAAAACGTAGCGTGGTTGTTCTGTCTGCGTAAGGCACCGTTTGTGTCCCTGCGGTGGCTCAAGAGCACAGCTGGAACTTGCAGGAAGTTGAACAGGTTGAGCTAATGGGCCTTCTCCAATTTTTAACTGCTGTGGATTGCTAAGTAGAATGGGATCTATCTACTCATGGTATAGTTTAATGCCTGAGGGAAGCTACCTTTCCCCACAGGAGACATGATTGATCCTGCCTAATGCTTTAAATTCACACCAAAGTCTGTGCAAGCGGCGAGACCCTCCCCACCCTCTTGAACACTCATCTGTGAACACTGTCTGTGTGTTCAGCTCTGAGAAAATGCTTTTGAAGCAAGGG